GCGTTATATAGTATAAATAGTGCTTTATCATTAAATAACTCCTTAACTTTATACAGTACTGCAATAGATTTTGCCATTTTTGTTCTTAAGTAATTTATGTGATGCTTCCATGTCAGTTTTTTGTCAATGATATCTCCCAAAAATGTTTATCATCATTTTACCAGTCACATGTTCAAACACTTGTAATGTAGTTTTAAAAAGCTTGAACAGTAAATTATACTTAAGAAAAGAAGAACATGTCTAAGATCGATTCACGCTGGACTTTCCAAGTTGACTCATTAGCGCCACTAGTGTTTGGACATGAAACTGCACCCACCTCCACCAATCTCAGGCCAAGGACAGATGAGTGACAGGACAGGGGCACTTCAGGGGTCCAATCAGATTTCAGCCGGGGCCAATGCCACTGTGGCCCCGCCCCCCATCTCTGCTCTAAATCGATTCAATTTCGATTCCTAAGGTTCTGAATTGATGAATCACGATTCGATTTGATTTTTATTTGATCTGCTCTTAAATAATAAAATGGTTCAGCTGCGTTGCAAATTACAAATTCACTTCACTACTAATAAAAAAATGAGTTTATGAGATTTCCAAATCACTGCGTTCTGTTTTAATTTACATTTTACATTTTTTTAATTGGGTTGTATTTATTACCCTGTTTATTTTTATTAAGGTTCCTTTTCATAGAGGCAAGTGTTTAGCATCAACAAATGTTGCACAGCTAAACATTTATAAGCTGTGCTTGTTTGCAGTGTTGGCCCCGAAGGAGACTTTTAGCTGCATAAAAGACATTAAGTCCAAGTTAAACACAAACACAGAGAATAATAAATACAACAAGACCCATTAAAGCCAGGAAACAAAGACGAGTGACAATAAAGACAGAATAAGAAGTGGTTGTAATTTATAGCATAACTGCTTCACTTTTAACCTGAATGCTGCCAGTTAAGTGTGACACAATTTAAACTGTGCAAACAATTCGTCAGACAGGTTTGTCAGCTTGCTCCTGCACAGCTGTCAATATGTTTTCATGTTAGTTTCTCTTTATTGATCAGTTTTTGTTGATTTTCTCCGTTTATAGGACCTGAATTTGTCAGGTTTTTATGTAAACCATCACAAAGTTTGTGTTCTCTGCTTGTTCTCAGCACATCGAATGTGTTTAAATCTTTGCATGCAGCTCTTTGAGACGTTCTGTGAAGCTTCGGTTCCTGCTGTCGGTGCTCCTGCTGCCTTCAGCTGATCAGAGATGGAGGAGTTTGAAAGACAGAGAGAGAATAATGATGCTGACACCGAAAATGAAAACTTTCATTTGCAGCTTGAATTCGTGTTTCGGATGAATTAGTTTCTGTGTTTCCAGATGTTCAGAGAATAATTTAGATTCCGTCTACATCCTCCGCAGGGTTTCCGGTTTACCCAGCTTCCTGACATGGGCATTGGTTCTCCCCCGCCACTAATCCCCTCCAGACCAGGACCACCACCTGGGACCTCGATACGATGGTAACACACACACGTCTAAACTCAGATAACGTTACTGTGACGTTAGCTGAAGGAAAGCAGAGTAAACAACAATATTCACAACATATTTGGCTCATGAAGAGATTCAAAGATATAGGTTCCAGGAACCATGAAATTTAAAAGCTGCGCAAAATTCAGTCCCAAAGATACGAAGGAAATTTTGTAACTGATTAATTGAATATTAGATGCAGTTTTGTATTTTATATTTTCTTTTAATTTCAGCCTTGAAGTTAAAGCAGACAAAGAGTTGGTGTGTTATCATGTGTAGGCCTGTCACGATAGCAAATTTTGCTGGGCGATTAATTGTCTCACAAATTATTGCGATAAGCGATAATATTGCCTGGTGACCATTTTACAACTAATAATTATAAAAGCGTAATATGTAAGTGTAATAAATCAATAAACTTTTAAACTTTTAAAGAATGTTTAACAAAGTGGACTCTCAGTCTCTAATAAAAAATGCATTTGAATAAAAAAAAACAAAGAACAACAAAATGTAAATTAAACACCACACACATCTAAGACAGTAAATAAACAATATTAAAGAGC